TGTGTTTATCGGCGGCACCGAAGCAATTTATGTGAAACACTTCAAAAACTTATAAATGACCGTCACGTGATCAACGAATTCATGTGATAGCATTAGAAATATGTTTATATATAGCCGAGAGAACTCTTTATATAAGTTGGCTGTACTTCAGTACATAAGTTATAAATTAAAATCAAAACCGACCTTGCAATGCAGAGTTTTGCTATGAACGCATTTTAGGCTTCGAGAAGCCTTAAAATTGCTGCGAAATGTTCACAAAATCCTGTTTTTGTATCATATCATATATTGTATAACATATTCTAGGTGGAAGTTCTTATTTTCCAAGAATATAGAGATACGTTTTTCAGTACATGATGCATTTAATTTGCATTTTCTCTAATGATTTTGTTTTTGTTTTTTCTTATCGTTTAAAATTAAGTTTGTCCTGTGTAGTCTCAAGAAAGACTTTTCTTTTGATAAGGAACTGTATATATATATACACACTTATGCGCCTTAACTTTGGAATTACCGGTCATTTTCTTATATAAAACAAAGATTTCCTTGGAGTCTTTTATTATCTTTCAGATCGTGTTCTCTCCAGCCGACGGTAATCCAATGACGGTAAATTAATAGATATCATTATTTTTTGGTAGTAATTAATTTGAATCATTAGATTTCTTTTTTATCACTTAAAAATGTGATATATGTAGTTTTCTTTCTTTTTTTAAATGTTAAGTTGATTAATGTAGTAGAGGAATTTACATATTTAATAAATAAAAAAAAACTACGAGGGTTGTCTGGTAAAATCATGGACATCGCGTTTTTATCGAATAATAATGCGCGCACTAAACTGAAATCTTCAGCAAATGTTTATTTATCATATTTAAGTATATTTTAATATCAATGATAAATCATAGGCAACACTAAGGATTTTGTTATACTTGAATGTGCACAGGGCATGGTCCTACGGCGCACGACCAAAATTTCAGTGTTTTATTAGGGAATATGCGAGTATTATTTCGATATTAAAGTAATAAATAGATATGCTTGGGGTAAAAATTTAACATATTTTTTTATAAACCGTCTCTTATGTCGCCATTTGGAAAATTTCAAGGCATTAACTTAATTTTTGGCAATTTTCCGAGCATTTGAAATGGGAAAATGGTAAACGTAACAAGAGAAAAAATGGCGATGTTTGATGACGTTACGGTGAACCGGAGAGCTGTCCATTTATATGTACATTAGGTAATGACGTCTTAAGAGACTTTAAATGATAACAGAAAGTAACAAAAGTATAAAAATATATCAGTGATACTTTAGTGGTTTTCAAGTAGATGGGCATTTTTTAAGCGGAAGCTCTTTGATCGAGTCCCCGCCAGGGTAGAACAAAACATACAGATAATCAGCTACTGGTAATAACGAAAGTCGCTATCACTGCAGTCCGTCGGAAAAAAAGATTGCCATTAAGTTCAATGAAAATGAGAGTACTACCTGACATTATGTTCTAAAACAAATCCTTAAAACGTCCTATGTGTGTGCAAAATTGGTCCCATCACTCTTCATGGGGGAACGAAAGGGAACTCGAGTGTGTACATCAGTGAAATTCCCTGGGAATTTAAATGGGATTTTTCCAAACAAAGATGACGTTGCTTAAGGGGATGAAGGACACATGGTCATATGACTCTGTTTAACTACGTCATAGTCTTCGTTTACATAAGTGCAAAACGTGTAAAGCATCAGTTCTTGTATAAATTTTTGACATTTTTTCAACTTTAATTCCCATCTTATATAAAAAAAAAAAAATAAAAAGTTTTAACATTCTTGTAAACATTAACAAATCATGAAAAAGATTGATCCACTCCTCTGTTTCCCTAAACTGCGCGTTCAACAAGTCGGTGACGTCATACACGATCTGTTAGTACAGCAAGATCATACTCGGTGAACACAGAGGCGGTATTATTATGTAAAAACAGGTCATAATCAGTATATGATGAAATATTTTGAGAAACGGGGAACACAAAAATTATTTTTGCATGGCTGATGACGGAAATATTATGTAGGTATATCTTATTTTGCTTCTTTAGCGTACGTGTGACGTCATAATTGGTTTTTCCCGTACTCGAGAAATGTAACATGACACGTTTTTGTCATGCTTATGTCCTCTTTAACGATGTCCTGTGAAATATTGAGGTCAGCTTCATCATTCGAAATTTTTACAGTTAAACAATAATGCGAAGGATTTGCATTTCAACATAAATTAAAAAATATTGAATGATAGAATTTTTTGTAAATTACGTTTTTTATTGTTTAAGTTGTCTTAAAAAGTGCGTAATTTTCCCTATCCGGATGCAGTGTGATTGACGAAACTTGCTTTTTCGAATTTTAAACCTCATTCATACTCTAAAATATTTTAAAAGATACATGTCAAATTTAGTATTTTTTATATATGTTTTAAAAATCTCATTATGGACAGAGTAATGAGCCCGAAACATGGAGAATTAAAATTCCACTTAGATACTATAGGGCATAGTATTTGTCTATCAATATCTCCAAAACAAGGTAAGAAACCTAATGATATAACTGCTTTAAGATATGTGGGACATACTTATTAGATATATACAAAATATGAAAAATTGAATGACAAGTATTTTTTCAGCTCAAGGTCCTTCTCCTCCTTAAGACATTTGACATTATCATCCTTGCGACAATACTACACATAACTTAAAATCATATATTTTGTTCATTTGAGCATATATCAAGTTGAAATTTGCTATGTATATTGAGAAAAAGTGCGCTAAAGAGTAGAGAAAATTTTAGTACTCTATAGAACTTGTCCAAGATTTCACCGGACAACCCTCGTACATATTAACACATTTTGTATAGATAAATATCTACCTACGATAAGAAGCTTTTAAAAATTAATACATATTTTACTATAGACAATGAATATTTTTCATTACATTTAGGAAACAAGAAACCGATTACTTAAAATCAATCAGCTAACATGCAGCTGTATTTCAAAATCTTTATTTCTTTTTCGATCTTTTTTTTTTTTTCACAGTATAATTATATTCCTAATATTGTTATTTTTTAAGTTTGTTTTGCCGATGTAGTGATATTAATCACTTTCCTTTTTTTCATTTACATGAATCACCTTTAATTTCAGCTGATTGCCATTGTAAATGTATTTTTCCTCCTACGTGCAGTTGCTTTTGGCCTACCCAGTAACTTGTATCTTGGGATCGGCTATAATATATTGAAGGCAAAACCCAGATGGAGGTGACTGGTCATCGCTTGGTCAGGATCCCGGTCTCTTTGTGACAAGAAACATTTTGCAAACTGCAGCAGGTGGACAGCATTATATTAAAAGTACAAACTACCCACAATGCAGTTCAGCATTATCTACTTGGGTTTTCTATGACCCAAAATCTTATTAGGAATATTTACGACACTACGTAACAATTGACGGTAGTTATTATTGATCAATAATTATTGTTCGTAAAATCTTACAAGAAAGATAAAAAAAAAATTATGATTTAATTAAACTCTTTGATCACAAAATAAATTTTGTAAAGAAGAAAGGCCAATTTAAAGTAAGCTATATAAGTAATATAAATCAACAGGGTCTTTAGATTTTAAGAACATTGACATGAAAGCAAAGTAGAGCTTTTATTTGAGTTCAGCGTTTATCTTATATTTTCATTAAGTAATTTTTCGACCGATTTTAAAAATCATGGCTTACTCGGTGCAAAATTCAATTTCAGAGCTGACAGTTTCCAATATTTCGTTATATGCATTTACAGAAAGTCAATGTAAGTAAACAAAAAAAAACAGAAACCCTTGATAAATAAATCTCTCTTGGGATAATACATGAAATAATTGAATGTGAAATACTATATAAATACTGCATGTAGTTGAGGATAACATTGAAAATTTTCACCCCAAGAAAACCATTGTCAAACGACTTCTCAATGTTACCCTAAAACTACATGCAGTATGTATTATATCGTGCTGAATGTTTTATACAAATACAAAGAAAGGTGAAGCACGCGCGCATAGATTCCGCGCAGTCACTATTATTTCGAATATCACCCATCGCCAAGCAATGCTGACTGTTGCTAAGTTCTTTTACACTGCAGGTTTCATCATTCAGAGGGAAACAGTGTTTTAATACATTTTTCTCGATGAATCAGATTAAAGTAATTTACATGAAAATATAATATTAGCATATAACGATATGATAAAAGACAGCCCTTTTAAGTTGTTGAGTATTCAGAGGCTTTCGGACGCCTTCGTGCCTTTCCGCATAGCTATCTCAAAAGGATTTTCGACTGGGCACAAATGTATACTGTACAGTGTCCGGTCGAGTGGATTGATGTGATTGTTTTTGACAAAGTGTTGACAAAATCTGGCCACATGGAGTAGGGGATAATCATGCTCGAAAATATGCCATACAACGAGCACATATGCTACGGAAATAAACATTAACGTAAGATCGACAAGCTTGCAGCCCAAACATTGCGCAGTCGGTTTTGCCACCTTTAGGGTGAATGTGATTCAGTGATTGCGTACTCTATTTATTGATTTTAAATGTAGTAACACGGCGATTTTGCAGTTCGCAGTTGACAAAAATGTAAATAGCACTGTCATACTATGAGTCTGTGTCGCAGTCTGTAGGTAACACTCCCATTTCCTCTCAGACGACAGACAAGACGTTCTGTGATGGAAACTTCGAAACAAACTTCACAACAACCTACTGCTACCTTTGACTTTACATTAGCTTTGCAAAAGCAAGACCCCTCTGAACTTTCTTTTCCATATTTGCAAGATATTCAATTGAAATTATCTGTAAATAGTTGAAATTGATATGCTATGATTAATGTTAACAATATAAATGGATCATTTTTATGATTTGGAAATTTATTGTAATTATCTTGCAGATGTGCTTGCTGCTTGACCACAACAGTAGGAAATGCAATTTACTTGCATGTGACAAAAGGGAAAATTCACATTGTTTTTGTTTTTCAGTATATAAGGACATCAAGAGAAAAACATTTTCTCAACATGATGTTTTCAGGGACGAAATTTCAGCCTGTCCTTCTCTCCATGCTCGATACACTGTTCCAGTTGTTCCAATTCATAAAAATCTTGTTACTCCAGAATTTGCGCGTGATGCCTGTCGATTACCAGCCTCATATAACTTACAGGCGTATAAACATTTTCTAGATAACTGGGGAACGGTATGAATACATTTGCAATATATTTGCATTTGAACTGCGAAATAAATTGTATTGATATTTTTCTATGAGAAAACTGAAGACCAATCACTAAAATATTTAATATAAAAATTGTAGAAATGTACTATAGATGGTATACTTATTGAAGTTCAATCAATGTTATATTTAAAACACTCTATCTCAGACTGCAAACTAGAAAATTTCCAAGGAATCAGCTTTTTTTTTTTTTTTTTTTTTTTTTTTTTTTTTTTTTGAGAGTCGTCAAGGGTCATGAGATCTTGAATAATGCTTAAATTTGATTACGGATAATTTTATAAATATAACAAAGTATCACGTGTCAATGAGCGTTATTCACCTCTGATATCACTTATTGCAGCATATGGAAAAAGTTTACAGGATATAAATTATATTTATGTATATAGCCATTGATAACTCTCTCCTTAACTGATTGTGTTAACCAAATTACTTAAGTACGCATTAGATAAATGTCTATTTTGTCTATTTGATCATTGAAGCATGTTACTACTGAGGTTGAGATGGGACAGAAGTCTGCAACACGATATAGACTATCAGTTGCCAATCTTGCAGATATTCTGTTAAATTCCGTAAGTAAAATTATTTATTCACTTTTAGAATTTGAGCACAATATACATTCTGGGTACAATCAAAGTTCATTTTAGAATTGACATTTTGTACTTCGATAAATTTCAAACACATCGCTACTCATACTTAAGTATATTTTTTCCATCTTAAAATTCGTTTATACGACATTTTTTTTTTAATATGTGATACATTATATGCCTGTTTTTTAATTATCCGGAGGGAAAAATGTAAGATTCAGTGGTTATCTTAACATTTTAGCATGACTCAAACGTAGCCTCAATGATGGTAGAAGCCTTTGAAGGATACGGTTCTGTCGTACATCTTAATATGTCGCACATTCACCATAGTGATTTCTCCAAACTTCCTCTCGGTACCCAGATCTCTCATTACACTATTGGTGCAGTTACAGAGGCAGTCTTATCATGGACGATCATTCCGATATTCCAAGTTTTTTCCAACGACTATTGGCAAAATTTAGATGAATTTTACCGAACTGGAATATGTGATGGGGATACGATGAACCTCTTGCAACTTAGCAAAAATTTTGTCAAAGCCCTTAGCGACTATTCAACTGCAAGCGGTGGAGAAAAACCGCCGTCAGGTAATATTTTGATACGTATTTTACCTTTTCACTGAAACTTTTTGTCCAAGTGGTGACATTTTGTTGTTGTGGTATTTTTTATCTGATTTTTTACGCATAGCCAGTCCTTAATTTAGAAATCATTGAGCGGAATAAACCCTTTTATCCATCAAACACTTACTAATTTTGGAGTCCATGCTTGGAATTACCTCAACATGTTGCGTTCTTTCCTTACTTCTGAATGCTTCAATGATTCAAAGTTAAAGTCAATATTAGTAATTAATGATAAATCATTTATTAAACTTTAATGGCTATAACTTGCACATGGGGCCTTTGATTTGTATGTGTCCATATTCTTTTCGTCAGATCATATTTTTATGTGAAGGTTATTATGCAACGAAATATTGAAGTCGTTAAATTTGAAATAATGGGTACTAACTCTGCCCTGTTATTTTAAGCAGACTTGTTTTTGTATGTACCGTAAATGATGTGTTCCAAAATATAATAATAAAATAGAGCGGAGTTCATACTAAGAAGATTATGAAGTTTATTACACATCCCAATAGAGTACATAGATCGTTATAATGTCGCACACTTTCCATGCATAACAATTTACATCGCACATCCAAAATGCCTTACCTTTAACACCTGGCCCCGCCTCTGATGTTGTTAGAGGTCCGTGTTTGCTCTGCTCATAATTTTTTCAATGGACTTTCGGGCATGCTTACTGTTCGTTGTCTTCATATTTCATTCAATTCCTTTATATTTTTTTTTTGTTTTTAGAGGTCCTTTACGGAAGACCAATAGTGCAAACCAAAAAAATAAATATAAAAAAACGAAATTATTATATAAAGAAAAAAAAAATATTAAATAAAGAAAACGAAATTATTAAATAAAGAAAACGAAATTATTAAATAACAATCAAAGGAAATTATTAAATAAAGAAAAACGAAATTATTAAATAAAGAAAACGAAATTATTAAATAAAAAACTGAAACTAAATACGGAATTTATAAATGTGCATGTTAAGGGCCTGAACCCATGAATCATTCCATAAAGCGCGCGTGTTACAAAGCATCACTCAGTAATTCTATAGACCTGATTTTGTTTCGACATTTAATCAAGTGTGGGGGAAATGAAAAATTAAAAAACTTAGGTAAATGTCAAATTGACAAACGTAGAAATACATTATGTGCCCGCAGCCTATATTTCGCATTTTTGAAGCAAATGATTCATAACTGTTCAATTTTGTTTACGGGAATTTGATGCTGTGTCGCATCCCAACAACGTCAAAGTTTGAGCCTGTAAGCCTAGACGTAGCGAGGATGACTTGTTTCTGTTTACATAAAATTAATGACATTCCAAAAGAGCTCACGAATCGCTGAAAGGTCAAGACCTTGCGTATCGTATATTGCTGAATTCCCCCCGAACTAAACCTAGCGCCCTATCTGTGTACCCATAAATCTTAGGTTGTTGAAACAACAAAGAGAATGATATGAATACTTTGTGGGATATGTTATGCAAGTGTGGAAGTGTGTGCATTGTTTGTTCACAACTATCACTGACTTATAAATACAGATTGAGAATTTGTCATTCAGAATATGTGAGAACAAATAGTTAGTGCATCACTTCTAATTATGCTTTGATAAAATGATCAAGAAATTAGAAGTGTTTTGCTTAATTTTTAATAAAGTAAGCAATCATTAAAATCTACTCATTGTAACAACTTTGACTTGTTAAATTTTTGCACTTGCTCTCTTTAAACAATTTTTATAATGTCAAACAAACCCGCAAAATCCGATTGGTAACGTATCATTTTACAACATTTTGTACTGTGCGATAATTGAAAAATGATGTATAGCCATGGGAATTTCCTAAATGTTATAAAGTTCAGCAGTTGTAATCAACGGAATCTTAACAGACATGTATATTTAAAATATTTGTGCAATTTATAAGAATAATCTCTTTGATGTTTCGTGTCCAGATTCATTGTTTGCTGATAATTAGACCTGATGAGCTGAGGGTTTAAGAAAGCCAATGTTAACGTGAACTTGTCATCACTTGCCAATTTCATCAGACTGGTCAAAGTTCACATTAATCAAGTTAAAGGTGCTTGGACACAGATTTGAAGTTAATATTTTCTCAGAATTTCTGTATAATATCATGACTTATATGTTGCTATAGCATTTCATACTAAAATATAATAAAAATCTTATTTCATCTGAAGTTATTGAAACTTCAAATTTCTGGACGCGTTTGATTGACACATCCTTGCACTTTCACAATTTTTAATTTTATTCTTAATACTTAAGAAAAGTGGCAGTTTTGCTGTGTATTAATGAAAAGTATTAAAACTATAATCCAGAAAATTCAGAGTAGAAATGTTCGAAAGCAAAACCCACTCACAGTATTGTCAGTCCGTGTTCAGTGGTGTGTGCAGACTTTAACAATCGAACACACCCGGTGAATCGTAAACATTAACAATAACAGAGCTCGTGCCCTCGCAGCACAGTTAAGGCTGCAGTAAGGAGGCGGGGCCTAATTTTTACGGGAAATGCTTACTATGACATCACACAAAAATATAAGTTCTTCAAATTACCACAAAATGAAATGATTTGCTATTTCAAACTATTGAATAGCTTTAAACAACATCAATACTAACTAGTGCATGCATTATTGTCGTTGGTTAAATCCCACACAGCAATATATAAACATTTCACTGATCGGAATGCACTTGTCAATGTGACGTCATATTGTAAAATTTGACGCAGTTTGTATGCAGTGAGAGGCGGATCAAGTTATATTTTATACAATGAAAAATGTACTTTTAATTAAATAAAATATAAACTGTAGATATATAAGAGGCTATTAACTTGGATGCGATGTCTATTTTATGATTTTATTCATATACTCCCCGTACATTCCCTAGACAAGCGCTACTGTCGTATATTTGCATGCAGATTCATTGAAGGGTAATAGAACGGTCGTAATAAATCGATATATTGCAAGGGCATACCCTCAATGAATTATGACAAGCTTTTACACATAAACTCAAGAAGTATGAAGATATTTGAAAAGTGCTGCGAACCTGTTGAAATCTTGCAACTGAATTAATTATATCTATATTTAATGTACTTGACCAACAAAATATTCAACATACGGCATAACAAATGTAATTTTAGCAATTCGATAGTAGAATCTATATAGGTTCGCAGCACTTTTCACAAACTACAAAGAGTGTTGAAAATAATTATATGTTAAACTTAGATTTTTAACTTGGTTATGCCCTTGCAATATTAGAATTTATAGATGACCTCAATACTTCAGGTATATTTGCTAAAATCACGTGACTGCCACATCACGTGACAAGTCTAAATAAGAAATCTAAACGTCCTCAACATGTAGTTTTCAACCACATTGTATTTGTCTGATAATAGTAAAGTCCTAAAAAGAAACGCCCATCCTTGTAAAGAATGTATTTTCTATCTAAAAAATTCGCCGATATTTCCATTTGGCACCTTAACTGTGCTGCGCTGTTTACAGAAACAGCTTACGTTTCACGGGTGTATTCAATTTGTTAAACTCTGTACACAACACTGAGCACGGGCTGACGATATTAGTGAGGGTGTTTGCTCTCGCACATTTCTACTCTGAATTTTCTGGATTATAGATGTAATGTTTTTCATTAATACAAAACAAAATCGCTTCTTTTCTTAAATATTAAGGATAAAGATAAAATTTGTGAAAGTGCAAGGATGTGTTAATCAAACGCGTCCAGAAATTCGTACTTCCAATAATTTCCAGATAAAATAAGTTTTTAACTATATTTTCGTGTGAAATGCTATTGCAATATATAAGTCATGATATTGTACAGAAATTTTGAGAAAATATTAACTTCAAATCTTTTTTTAAGCACCTTTAATGTAAGATAAAAACATAGACCTAAGCATATTGGATAACAAAAGGTAAAATTCTCCCCTATTCATCTATTGTGAGTGTCTACTCCAACTGGTTATGTTATCGATACGGGAATAGCTGAATGTAAATGCAAATATCACACTTGTTTTAATGTCGAAACAAAATGTGGTCATAGAACACGTGCGCTTTATGGAATGATTCATGGGTTAAGCTAGGCCCTTGCCATGCGCATCTATAAATTCCGTATTTTAGTTTCAGTTTTTTAATTTAATAATTTCGTTTTCTTTATTTAATAATTTCGTATGTTTTTTATTTAATAATTTTGTTTTCTTTATTTAATAATTTCGTGTTTTTTTGTTGTTATTTTTTTATTTTTTGTTTTTTGTTTTTTGTTTTGTTTTTTGTTTTTTTTTTTTTTATAATTTCGTTTTTCTTTATTTAATAAATCCGTTTTCTTTATTTAATAATTTCGTTTTTCTTTATTTATTTTTGGTTTGCACTATTTGGCTTCCGTAGTCCTTGTTGTTTGTGCTTATATTTATGTTGCTTGAATGGACTTTTAGAATGATCACTGTTTGATATCATCACACAAAACACATTCAGTCTTTCTTTTAATTGTGATGTTTTTTAAATATATTTGCGAGGTGCAAGAGCATAACACTTGTTTTATCACGTAATAGGCATAAGGAAGGTATAAAACCTGTCACAGCAAAATCGGTAAATTTATCACCTAATCATGATTCTTTTGTAATTTGGTCGAGGTGGAACTTGATAAATTTCCGTTTAGAAGTGTCTGTATCTGGAAAAATATTTGGTTCTACATGTTCATATTTAGAACACCTGAAAACCCAACTCTATTCTTCCATTTGCTGCAATATTATAAAAGTTTTATAAAGTAGAATCACAAAGCCATTTGCTCATGTTGATATATCACTTCGCCTAACTATATCACGATTAGCAAGGTAATTTATAATAAAAGAAGAAAACACTTGCTGTGGCCTTCAACTCGACATTTAGATATATCGAAGACGTATTGTCAATTAACAATGGTTATTTCCATTCTTATGTCCCGTGAGCTTGAGATAAAAGATACCATAGAGTCT